CCCCCCCCCAGTTGCTATTAGTACCGGTGGGGGGGGGGGGGCCAATATTTACCTGGTCTTCCCCCCAGCTGAAACAAAGATCAGATTTCTTGATGGTGGTGGTAATCTGGAATATAACCAGGGGTGAGAGGGACACACTCCAAATCCCACACTGCCGCACTCCTGTTCCCGTCACTGGCTACTGCCTTTTCACATTTAAAAATGTGTCTTTTATTGACAACAGAGATCCATGATCTTCATCATGTCAGTTTCAGTAAGGGTATGGGACTCTCCAGGGCACCGGAATGCCACACTTACCTGGGGGCCTCTTAGGGGCAGAGAGGAGGCTGCCACAGAGCCACCCCTTTTAAAGGGTCTCTGCTGCCCCAACAGCTGATCAGTGGCAAGGATATCAGGCCAAGATTTGACCACAGACCCAGCCAAGTCTGCTTCCAGCCTCTCATGGGATAGGTGGCCCTTACAAAGTGACCTATGCCAAGCCAGTGGAGGGGCTGGAAGCATACACCTCAGGGCCCCATAGGGAGGAGGTTTGAGGGAAAGGGTTGGGGAGGCAAGAAAAAACTAATTACAAAGAAGGTCTCTGGGGAAAAAAGACACAGTATTGAAGATCCAGAGGGCCAATAGGCTATATGTGTGTGTTGGGGAATTGGGGAGTGTGGCGAAGATACCAACAGGGGGGGGGGTGGCTAAAGGAAGTTGTGCAGAGTTGCTGGAAGCAATGGTGAAAATGGATGGTAGTTATATGAAGAATGGAACAGCCAACAAGCAAGGAAGATTAAGACTTTTTAAATACACACACACACACACACAGAAGAAGAAGAAGAAGGGGAGGAGGCGGCGGAGATTGGATTTGTACCCCGTCCTTCACTACCCAAAGGAGTCTCAGAGTGGCTTACAATCTCCTTTCCCTTCCCTTCCCTTCCCTTCCCCACAACAGACACCATGTGAGGTAGGTGGGGCTGAGAGAGCTCTTTTGAGGACTGCTCTCGAGAGAACAGCTCTGAGAGAATTGTGACTGACTCAAGGTCACGCCAGCAGCTACATGTGGAGGAGTGGGGAATCAAATCTGGTTCTCCCAGACTAGAGTCCGTGCTCCTAACCACTACACACACACACACACACACGGCAGAGGAAGCTATGAACTATTGGCAGGAAAGAAGGAGACAGGAAAAGGTCAACTAGACCCTGATTAGGGAATTCTGCCCACTCTGATTCCACTGTCATTGCAGAACTATGACCTGGTCACCCTTTGTAGTTAACAAGGACCAAGAAGTAGCATGAGGGAGAAGGGAAGAATTTTGCATGTTGGCTTAAGCCAAGGG